TCTCCAGGGGATCTTCCCGACCCAGGGATCGAACTGGGGTCTCCTGCATTGCAGGCAGATTCTTTACCAGCTGAGCCAGAAGGGAAGCCCCCAGTGCCTGAGGGCCACTGGAAACAGAGTGAGCTGCATGCAGCAACCTGACGCCAAGCTACGGATCTGAGAAGGAATCAGCCAGGGGACAATGACCGGAGGCCAAGAGACAGCCACGCACTCCAGGTCCTCTGCCGCTTATACTCGGAAGAGTGTACAGCTGGTAATCGTTTACCATGGAGATGAAGGTTTTAGAAAAGCTCTATTCAGAAAGATTCAGGAACAGCCATGGGTTCTATGAAAAGAAGTGTAGAAAGCTAAAAAGTGGAAATCAGGGACAAGAGGATGAGACAGAAGAAAAAGATGACATGGAAAAGCACAACTGATTACATTTAACGGGTATTGGCCTCATGTTGATTTGGGTTTGAATTCTTCTCTTCCATTTGTAAGATGTGTGGCTCTTAGCCCATTTGGGTGCTATAACAAAATACCATGGACCTGGTGGCTTAAACGGAAACAGAAATGTATTTCTCACAGTTCTGGAAGCTGGGAAGTCCAAGATCAAGGCGCCAGGAGAGTCAGGTTCTGATGAGACTGCTCTCGTTTCAGAGTCAACACCGTCTCACTGTGTCCTCAGGTGGAGGAAGGCGCTACTGATCTCTCTGGTGCCTCCTTTAAAAAAGTACTAATCCCACGCATGAGGTGTCCTCCTTCATGACCTAATTACCTTCCAAAGGCCCCACCTTCCAACACCATTGCATGTGAATTTGAGGTGAATATAGACATCCAGACCATAGCATTAGCCTTGAGCAAATCACTTAACTAAGCCTAACTTTCGGTTTCTTCATTTATAAAATAGGAATAAAGAAACTTATTTCATAAGGCTGCTTTGAGCTTTAATGAGCAACAATGAGAAAGTACAGGCAAAAACACTAAGACAGCTGGGCATGCAGTAAATATTTAATAAACAGTAGTCATTGTTATTACTAACAAGTTTAGAAGGAAAAAGAAGTGAATGAGGCAAAGAAAGGATTACAAAGATACTAAAAGCACAATTAATAATAATCTCCACTGAAGATATTAAAGAGCAGAATTTAAACTGCAGAAATGTCGAACTGGTAATGCAGAAGAGCTCCAGAAGACTGAGAAAAGGGATGAAAAACTAAGGCTGATAAAAGAAAAGCTGAGTCAGTAATTCAACTTACTAATTAAAGACATTTTTGAGAAACAAATCAAGCAGAACAAAGTAATAAGCTAAAATAGGAACAAGGAAGACTTCCTGATGTGAAAAATAATCTCAGCATTCAGATCAAAGAGCTCACTGTATTTCAGGCAAAATTAATTTTAAACTATTTTAAAGACCCACTCCCCCTAGATATAATTAAGCAAAAATGTAAACTATGGAGATCATTTTTCTAAGCCTCCTATAAACGTTCCAGGGACCAGAAGGATCTTTCAAACAATCTGTAAAGTGTTCCAGAACATAGAAAAATATGGAAAAACTTCCAAAATATATCATGATATGTGTGGAACCAATACAACAAAACCCAACAGAGAGAAAAGAAACCTCCTACTTCATTTTCACTTTTAAATTTATGCAAATATTCTAAATAAAACCATAGCAAACTGTAATTAGCAGTGTAATAAAAATACATGCATACTATCAAGTTGGACTTACCCAACAAGTAATCCAATTCTTTGCCCTAACCAGTGTTGCCAAAGAGGCTGAAGTTGACTGTTTCTATGAAGACCTACAACAACTTCTAGAACTAACACCAAAAAAGATGTCCTTTTCATCCTAGGGGATTGCAATGCAAAAGTGGGAAGTCAAGAGGTACAGCAACAGGCAAGTTTGGCCTTGGATGAAGCAGGGCAAAGGCTAACAGCATCTTGCCAAGAGACGGGTCAGAGCAAAAACCCTTTTCCAACAACCCAAGAGATGACTCTACACAAGGACTTCACCAGCTGGTCAACACCAAAATCAGACTGATTATGTTCTTTGCAGCCAAAGATGAAGAAGCTCTACACAGTCAGTAAAAATAAGATCCAGAGCTGACTGTGGTTCAGATCATGAGCTCCTTACTGCAAAATTCAGGTTTCATTGAAGAAAGTAGGGAAAACCACTAGGTCATTCAGGTATGAAGTGAAAGTCACTTGGTCATGTCCGACTCTTTGCAACCCCATGGACTATACAGTCCATGGAATTCTCCAGGCCAGCATATTGGAGTGGGTAGCCTATCCCTTCTACAGCTGATCTTCCCAACCCAGGAATCAAACAAGGGTCTCCTGCATTGCAGGTGGATTCTTTATGACCTAAATCAAATCTTTTATGATTATACAGTGGAGGTGATGAATAGATTCAATGGATTAGATCTGAAAGACAGAATGCCTGAAGAACTATGGATGGAGGTTCATAACAGGAGGCAGTGACCAAAACCATTCCAAAGAAAAAGAAACTCAGGAAGGCAAAGTGGTGGTCTGAGGAGGCTTTACAAATAGCTGAGGAAAGAAGAAAAGCAAAAGGCAAGGGAGGAAGGGAAATATATACCCAATTGAATGCAGAGTTCCAGAGAATAGTAAGTAGAGATAAGAAGTCCTTACGAAATGAACTATGTAAAAAAAAAATAGAGGAAAACAATAGAATTGGGAAGATTAGAGACCTCGTCAAGAAAACAAGATATCAAGGGAGCATTTAATGCAAGGACAGGCATGATAAAGAATAGAAAGAGTAATGATCTAACAGAAGCAGAAGAGATTAAGAAGAAGTAGCAAGAATAAATAGAAGAATTACACAAAAAAGGTCTTAATGACCTGGATAACCATGACGGTGTGGTCACTCATCTAGAGCCAGACATCCTGGAGTGTAAAGTCAAGTGGGCCTTAGGAAGCATCACAACAAACAAAGACAGTGGAGGTGGTGGAATTCCAGTTGAGCTATTTAAAATCCTAAAGATAATGCTGTTAAAGTGCTGCACTCAATATGCCAGCAAATTTTGAAAATTCAGCAGTGGCCATAGGACTGGAAAAGGTCATTTTCCATTCCAATCTCAAAGAAGTGCAATGCCACAGAATGTTCAAACTATTGTACAATTGTGTTAATTTCATGTGCCAGTAAGGTAATGCTCAAAATCCTTCAAGCTAGGCTTCAGCAGGATTTGAACTGAGAACTTTCAAATGTGCAAACTGGATTTATAAAAGGCAGAGGGACCAGAGATCAAATTGCCAACCTTCATGGGATCATGGAGAAAGAAAAGGAATTCCAGAAAAGCATCTGTTTCATTGACTATACTAAAGTCTTTGACTGTGTGTAACACAACAAACTGTGGAAAATTCTTAAATAGGTGGGTAATCCAGGCCACCTTACCTGTCTCCTCAGAAATGTGTATGCAGGTCAAGAAGCAACAGTTAGAACCAGATATGGAATAAATGACTGGTTCAAAACTGGGAAAGGAGTACAACAAGACTGTATATTGTCACCCTGCTTATTTAATTTATATGCAGAGTACATAAAATGCGAAATGCCGGGCTGGATGAAGCACAATCTGGAATCAAAATTGCCAGGAGAAATATCAATAACCTCAGATATGCAGATGATACACTCTAATGGCAGAAGGTGAAGAAGAACTAAAGATCCTCTTGATGAGGGTGAAAGAGGAGAGTGAAAAATCTGGCTTAAAACTTAGCATTCAAAAAACTAAGATCATGGGATCTGGTCCCATCGCTTCATGGCATGTAGATGGGGGAAAACATGGAATCTGTGGCAGATTTTATTTTCTTGAGCTCCAAAATTACTGCAGATGGTGACTGCAGCCATGAAGTTAAAAGACACTTGCTCCTTGGAAGAAAAGCTGTCACAAACCTACAAAGCATATTAAAAAGCAGAGACATTACTTTGCTGACAAAGGTCCACATAGTCAAAGCTGTGGTTTTCTCAGTAGTCATGTATGGATGCAAGAGTTGGACCACAAAGAATTGACGCTTTTGAACTGTGGTGTTGGAGAAGACTCTTGAGAGTCCCTTGGACTGCAAGGAAATCAAACCAGTCAATCCTAAAGGAAATCAACCCTGAGTATTCATTGGAAGGACTGATGCTGAAGCTGAAGCTCCAATACTTTGGCCACTGATATGAAGAGCTGATTGATTGGAAAAGACTGAAGGCAAAAGGAGAAGGAGGTAACAGAGGATGAGATGGTTTGATAGCATCACCGACTCAATGGACATGAATGTGAACAAACTCAGGGAGATAATAGACAGAGAAGCCTGCCGTGCTTGTGTCCATGGGGTCACAAACAGTCAGACACTACTGAGCGACTGAACAAGGAGTCTAATGAGAAGAGGGGAAAAACACATACTTAACAGATGAGGAATCAGAATGACCTTGCCATAATGAAAACTGTTTTCAAAAATTTTCTCTCTCCATTTTGTTTTTTCTACAGTCAACTTGTATAACTTTATTGTCAGAAAATTTTAATATAAAAAAATCTATACTTGGGAGACTTTAGCCCAAATTTAAATAGCTCCATTTAAGTGTTTTCAAAATGTCACAAATCTTAATAATGTCACAATCTGTCTTGGCATTGACATAGAGACCCCCAAGTCAGGGGAAGTCCTCTTCATAAAGGATGCCTGGTCCGTAGAGACTGCTGGGAACAAGTCACTCCGGGCACTCACTGCCCAGTGGCCCTGCACAGGAGGGATATCTACTCACACTCACACTTACCCGGTTACTAAGAGCTTGTTTTCAAGTAAACTCGAAGAACAGTTTGATATCTGAAGGGAGAGGAAGGAAGGCTCATAATCTTTTTTTCCTCAGACACATTTTTCTATCCATTATTACCATGTCTCCACTCTTGCAGGTAGCATTTATTTTAATAAGAAACTGCTAAATGTTCCAATTTATCTTCATTCCATTTATCGAATACCACATCTTAAGCTTTGCCAAGAGATGATTTTCCTCCTGACAGACTCACCTGTGGAGAAGACGAACACCGTGTTGTTCCAGAGCCCGCGGCTTTCCAAGGCTGCGGTGACATTTCCCACTGCTTCATCCATAAGGGACGCCATGCCTGCATAGTGGTGCCTGTTCTTATCTTGGATGAAGTCATAGGGCTTCAGGTATTCCTCGGGGACCTGAAGGGGCTCATGGACAGACTGGAGAGCAAGGTAGAGAAACAGAGGCTGGAAAGAGAATTTGTGCAAATCAGTTAGGTGGGCTTGGAAGCATGAAACATACAGAGAGAAGTCCAGATTCATTGGTTAATAAAAGCAATATTGAGACAACCCACAAACTGGGTTGAAAATATTTGTACATCATATATCTGATCAGGGATATGTATCCAGAACATATTAAGAATTCTTACAACTTGATAATAAAGTTCAATTAACTCAATTACAAAAATGGGCAAAGAATTTGAATAGATATTTCTCCAAAGAAGACATACAAACAGCCAATAAGCACATGAAAAGATGCTCAACATCATTAGTCATCAGGGAAATACCAAAAAAACCCACACTGAAATACTACTTTGTACCCACTGAAGAAAAGAAAGTTAGTCACTCAGTCGTGTCCGACTCTATGTGACCCCATGGGCTCTAGCCCACCAGGCTCCTCTGTCCATGGAATTCTCCAGGCAACAATACTGGAGTGGGTTGCCATTTCCTACACTCACTAAGATGGTTTTAATTTCAAAAATGGGAAAGAAGAAGTGTGAGTGAGGATGCAGAAAAATTAAAACTCTCATTCACTGCTCATGGGAATGTAAAATGGTATAGCCAGTTTGAAAAACAACTTGGCAGCTCCTGATATTGTTAAACATAGAGTTACCATATGAGCCAGCATTTTATCTAGAGAAACAAAAGCATATATCCACACAAAAATTTGTACATGGATGGCCACAGTGACATTATTCATAATAGCCCCAAAGTGGAAGCAAAATGTCTACCAATTGATGAATGGATTAACAAAATGTGGTATATTTTCAGCAATATACAGCAATTAAAGGAATATGATGTAGGCATAAAAAGGAATGAAATATAGCACATCCTATAACATAGATGTCTCTTGAAAACATTAAGTGAAGGAAACCGATCACAAAGATCACATTTATATGGTTTCATTCACATAAAATGTCCAGAACAGGCAAAGCTATGGAGATAGAAAATAGATTAGTGGTTGCCTGAAGCTGTCTGGATTTCTGAGGGAGAGGAGTGATGAGTGATGGCTGACAGGTACAAGACTTCTTCCAGGAGCAGTGAAAATGTTTGAAACTTAGCTTGTGGTAATGGTTGCACAACTGTGAGTTTATTATTGAATTGAGTACTTTTAAATGGATGAATTTTATGAAAAAGCTTGAGTTCTAAAATTGCCTAGATTTAAACAAATGGAAATAATAATACCAACAATTCTGTCTCATGTAATATTCAAAAACCACCTTGTTATAACCATTTTACAGGTAAGTTAATTGAGGCTTAGATAAGCTTTATGGCTTGCACAAATTCATATTAATTGCAAAGCAATTGCCTATTGGAAATTCCAGTATTACTGTGTGGATATGTCCCAATAGATGGGTTAGCTTTCTGCTTTAGCTGAAAAATAAGTGACCATCTTTTAGGAGAGGTTTAAGCATTGTCTACATTTTCATAAGAAAACAAGTGAACCATAAGGCCAATTTAATTCCTGGAAACTGAGGGGGGTGATACACAGATTCTATTTTACTTCTGACATCAATTTACAGAATTTAACATTAGTGGTATTCTGAGTTAGCCTCTTCCTTTTAATGAGTCTTTCTGAAGGTACTCTTTTCACTGTGCTCCTATAGAATTCTTTAATGACTTGAAAACTCTCAAAGAGACAACTGACTCGACACAAGAAAAAAAAACATAATTCTGTTGATATACTTGAGGCTTTTAAAACTCATAAAGAATGTAGGGCTATTAGAACACAGGCTGGAAGGTTGGCTTATATTTCATTCATTACTGTGGAAAAAAAATGTTTTAAATTATATATTATACATCCTTGTGATACCGTAATGGGTATACATATATAGAACTCAAATAGACACCCAAAAGAGTATTTTCAGTTCACCTCTCTGGAACTTAGAAATACCTTTTTCCCCAAATCAAAACGTTCAAAGTGACTGTTCAGTAAGAGGCAGGTGATGGAATGACAACCGTGATAAGGAGACCCTAGGCTTCATTTGTACGTTACTTCCATGGGAAGACATCCCAAATTCCTGCCCTCCAAAGGCAACACTGACAGCTCTGACACGGCTTTAGCTCCGCCTCTACTGCTGCTCAACACACGCATTCTCATCCAGCCCAAAAGACCCACCGAACCTCCGTGCTCCTCCAGACCATGGCTAAGGGAACCCCAGCAGATGCTCTGCCCAGCTGGGGAGGAAGGTCCCTGGGCTGAGATGTCTGGAGAGGAAAGAATGAGCAGGGACACCTGTGACTTGGCAGTGCAGTTAGGGTCTGAGTCTTCAGAACAAGACCGAGCCCATGCCACCAGCCCAGGTCTGGATGGGGAAGGATTAAAAACTGGAAGGCTACAACAATTTGCAACCCACATCAAGTTTAAGAGCCAGGAAATGTCACACTAAAAACCTGTTTTGTTTAGGTTTTTTTTTTCCCTCAAAAAATCAGAACCTCTGATAACTCCAGGCCCACACTCCATCTGACAACAAATGGCTGGAGTACGAGAAACAGAGATCCCACCCACCAGGGCTCTTCAAGTTCCCCGTCTCTCCACCGGCCTCTCTGAATGGCTTCACTTACTTAGGGTAGCAGCCTGGCCCTTGTTTGTGACTCTGATCTGGATTCTCTGCAGTGGGTAAGGGTAGAAAAATTATGGAGGGAGCCCAGTGCTTCAGGAGAAAACATGCTTGCCCACATCATTCTGGTCAATGTGGCAGTACCCATGGTGAAGGAGAGAAAGGGGAAGGAGGGCAGGTCATTTCCAACCGGAAAGTGATCCCTGGTGGCGAAGCTGGGGTGACTGGTGGAAGAGTTCTCATGACCACACCAGGGGAAAAAAACAATGATTCTGGGACCACCATTCAGGGGTCTTATAAATAGCCAGAATGGAAATCATTGGTTAAATGTAGCAAAAAATTACCTAAAAATCTTTCCCATAATTATTCCTTAGTGGCTAAAGACATGGCCACTGCTCTTAAGGGACTAAAATGATGAAACTACAACTATTTCCCCATTTTTCCAGTGGCCAGGCTCCTGTTAGTTCAAACAGAAGAGGCAAATCTGAGACAAGAAAGGGAAAACAACCCCTGGGAGATGCAGTCTGCCTTGGCCTGTGACTGTTATAGGCCCTGCAAAGCCCCCCGTTACCTACCCATTGCACTTCCCAGGTGGCGCAGGGGTAAAGAATCTGCCTGCCTATTCAGGAGATGCAAGAGATGAAGGTTTGATCCCTCATCCAAGATCCCCTGGAGTAGAAAATGGCAACCCATTCCAGTGTTCTTGCCTGGAAAATTCCATGGACAGAGGAGCCTGGCAGGTTACAGTCCATGGGGTCACAAAGAGTAGGATACGATTGGGTGACTGGGCATGCGTGCACACACACGCACGCGTGCACACACACACACACACACACTTGTCAACTAGATCTTAACTAATGAGTAAAGATAAAGGTGGTCCTTGAACAAAAGAAGTCGTCTTTTTCCCATTTCATCAGCAGTGATCTAGGGCCATTTAGTGTGCTGGCAAACAGCCTTGTACACATCACTATTTCTCTGGGTCATCAGAGGAAGGCAGAACGATAAACAGTGTAGCCCATTTAATGGGGAGAGGCCCAAGGTACCATAGTTTAGAGTATTTCCATCTAATATTGCATGGGCTCCCCTGGTGGCTCAGTGGTAAAGAATCTGTGCCCTTTTCGGATTTCTTAGGTTTATAAATTGGTATCCTAAATGTGAATCATCACCCGATGTTTAGGTATTAAGTAACAATATGACATTATTGCCTAAAGTTATTAGCATATTAAAATGGTGCTAAGGATTCATTTCTCTTTCTCATTATGCTAATTTCAGTGAGGAAGAAAGCCTTATTTTCATTTCTTTAGTATATTTTCCTAATTTAAAGTATAACTTTTAAAAAAGCATATGATACGTTTTTAAAGTGTTATTCTTTGACTTTCAAATTAAGACATTTCCTCCCAAACTGTGGCAGGGAAAAGTGAGTGTCTACCACTAGAAATTCACACTTGCTTTAAGAAACTGCTAGTAGATGAGGTGTGTGAGAAAACATTTATTTTTATTCTGCAAAGTCTCGGGGTGGGGGGGGTGGCTATTTTTAACAAAATGATATTTTGTGAATGTGTTACTTTCACGTTGTAGTGTTAGTACTAACGGGATTAACCTGCAGGAGAAAAAAATGACATTCCCTCTCAGCACTGTGCAATGGCTATTAGCAATTTCTCCCTGATTCCAACACCATGTTTCTGTTATAAAAGAGCTCCAGATGCTCTTTTCCCTTGAAGGGCTCTTTAAAATAGACACATTTTTAAGTCAGCTTGTGGACACTTTGTATTTCTTTAACAATTTCCATCTTAGAGCAAGTTGTCCATGTTGCAGATAGCACAGAGAAATTAGCACAGAATTAGACTCAACTTGGAATAAAACAATGAAAATCCTGGAACTGGTGGGCTGCACCCTTTTATTGAGAATGGAAAACGTAAACACCTGCATTTTACATCGTAAACTTTCCAGGGCTACTACTCAGCTATTGATTACTTCATTGCTGTGTTTCTGTGCTTCACACTTGACCATGAGGATCCCCAAAAGGCTGGATTCTGCTTCGGAATATTTCAGTCATTGTAGGAAAAGGACCACCTCTCACCTGGCAATTTCCATAATGCTACCAAGAGCAGCACCAGACTTGTCACACCAGTTTGCATGGCTCGTGAGCTCTTAGCACCTCTAGTTTCCCTCTGCTCCTGCGCCTTCCCCCACGGCACCAGTTAAGACAGCCCACCCACCAGGAGCGCTTTCAGCCCAGGTGCTTCCTCTCGTCTGCCTACTGTTACGGGCACTGGGAGAGAACACTCTATTGTTCCTTCATGGGAACTAATTTTTATTGTAGACTAATTTTTATTGTAGTTGTTACACCATTAAAGTAGTGACACAGTGTGAACCTGTAGAGGGCAGCTGGCTTCCGCCTGCCCTCTGTGCTTGAGGGCAATCGGCAGAGACTTCATGGCAGGACCACTGATGGGAGCCGGGGTGGAGGGAAAGTAAGGAACTGACAGGCTCCCACCCCAGACCAGTAAACCACAGTAAGGAACTGACGGGCTCCCACCCCAGACCAGTAAACCACAGTAAGGAACTGACGGGCTCCCACCCCAGACCAGTAAACCACAGTATTTGGAACTGTGGCACTTCTTCCAAGCTTTCCAGAGGATCCCAGTACACTGTTAATGCACTGTATGTTGGAACCATCAGGCACACTGGGGCTCATCACCTCTGGTCTGGAATCTGAACTGTGAACTATGGAGGGTTGTTAGTGCACTGAGCTCTCGAGTTAAACACCATGGTTTCAAGTTCTAACTCTGTGACCTTGAACAAGTTCCCTCACTTCTCTAGCCCAGTGGGCTTATCTGTAAAATAATGCCCCACCTCAAACCTCAAAAGACAGGGACCACAATTCCCTCAAAACTTTAGCTCATTCTTTCAGTCTTCAACCATATATATAACATGCCAAGCATACTGAAGAAAACTGAGAACTGAAGCCAATTATCCAGCAGCTATCTTTCCAACTATCTGAATATTGGTATAGACCCAGAGTTTAAATACACATATGTCTACATGTTTGAGAGAATGTTCCAATTTCTTCCATCATCCCCAGGAAGCATGGCCACTCCAAGTGGTCAGCAAGAAAGAATAATAAAAAATCAAAAGTGGGGCAAGGCTGAGGACAGATATCAGGAAACATACTCAATACTGAGTTAGAGGAGACAAAGGCAGAGACAGGAAGAAAACAATGCCAAAAAGGGAGTCAGCAGCCAGGTACCAAGATTGTTGGTAGATAAACTGTGATCCATATTGAGAACCTTCAGTAACTGCCAAAGAGGCAAAGTAGAGGCAATTAGAAAAACCAGATAATACTACACATTTTGTAATCTACCGTGTGAAGTTCTAATTTTGAGGGCATGTTAACACAATTCTTAATGAAGCCATATTTTGAGCCTAACATCTGACAACACAAGTATCTGACCCAATTTTAAAGGCATTTATAAGCTAAATCTAGAGAAAGCAGCTTAAGCTTCACCTCGGGAGGTTAACTTTAGTTTAACAAAAAGAAAAAATGTTAAGGCTAGTCAGACTCTTTTCTCTTTTTCCCTGAAAGTAAATCAAAAGATTTAAGCACATGACATATACAAATAGCTTCAGTATGGTCAATGTGAAAAACAGGCTCACTCGTGTACCATGCTTATAGATTAGAAGACTCAACATTGTTAACATGCCTGTTATCCTCAAGTTGGTCTACTGATTCAATGAGACCCAAACCCAAGCAGACCCCTTTTTTTTCTTGGTAGAAACTGGCCAACTCATTCTAAAATTAACAAGGTGATACAGAGTATCTAGAATAGCCGAGATAATCTTGAGGGGTTGGGAAGGTATGGAACTGGCCCTGAATCTAAAGTTTGTGGGTCTCTAACAGAAATTTTGCCATAACACCTCATTTTGCACCTTAAGCCTATCATTTTAAAAATAAAGTCAACTTACTAATTACTTACAACTCATGTACATAACACACTAAAACAGTGAAACTCTATTGGCACCAAAACACTACATTTATAGCATTCCTCAAAGTGTGATCTGGGGACCACCTGCAACAGAATCACCCTTAAAGAACTTCTTTAAAATATTCAGATTTCCCTAGACCTAATGAATCAGACTTTTAGACGTGAGCTCCAGGAATTTCTATTTCTAACAAGCTTCCCAGGCTGATACTGATGTACTCTAACATTTGAAAGTGAAAAAAAAAAAGTGAAAGTTAGTCACACAGTCGTGTCCAACTCTCTGTGATCCCATGGACTGTAGCCTGCTCTATTTCTCTGTCCATGGAATTCTCCAGGCAAGAAAACTGGAGTGGGTTGCCATTTCCTTCTCCAGGGGATCTTTCTGACCCGGTGATTATACCCAGGTCTCCTGCACTGCAGGTATGTTCTTTACCAACTTAGAACTTATTAGATTGTTTCCTAAAAGACAGGGGCCTCTTCCTATGTTCACCTGAGCAGAGATGCTATCTTCACAAAAGTTTGAAATCAATAAAGAAGCAAGATTTACCTTCTCTGGTGGGTGGTTGGTTATCAGGGTTGTAGCCCTTTCAGTAAATACGTTTGTTGAATACATATTTTTATATCCTGTTGCAACTTCTTCACCATCTCGAAAATCAAGAGCACATCGTGTGACATTCAGAGCGTCAATTAAGGTACACCGCTCGTGGGAGTAGTAATCTTCACTACCTAGAAGATATCCTACAACAGAAACAGGAGATGGAAGTAGTCAGCATAGCATAAAACTTGTTAAACAAATGGAGATTTCAGCATTTAATTGCCTAATGCAATTGATTACCCATGACAAGGCTAATCAAATGACAAGGCTAATCAGAGCACCATTTTTAACATCTCTATATTTGCCAGCATAAGGCATTAAAATGTTGTTGTAAAAAAATTAAAATCCATCCTTCAATCTTTAGAGTGTATGCTCTATTGTATAACTATCAAAGTGAGTGATTTCAAGTAAACATGGTTTTAAAAATCAGAGGTTAAATTCAGCAAAGGTGATGACATCTTAAACATTTAAAGCTATCTAATGGCTAAAATAGCATGTGGTTAATGTGATTTGTTACAAGTTTTTACTCTGAGGTGATCACATAAATGAATGCAGGATACAAATAACACTGATATTGACCTTGGCCTACTGGCTTCAAGGTTATGTCTAGAAGGAGCGCTTGGAGGAAACATCTTCAGTCAGATGCTGACACCCACTGGTGAGAGACACAAACTTTTCTAAACGGAGGCTCTCTAAACAGAACAGAACCAAAAGAGCAAACTAACGTACAGCACTGTAATTAGATTTTTCTACCTACAGTGATCTCAATTTTGTTCCAAATTTAAAAGACATCTATCCCTCAATTTAGACTTACACACAGGAGAAAATGGGTTTTCTCAACTTTACTTGTTTCTGCAAATGTCCCATATTTTCCAAAAATATTAAAATAAGTTGCACTGCATGTTGTTGGATTCTATTTCTATGAAACACTCAGAATAGGCAAATCTATAGAGACAGAAAGTAGGTTAGTGGTTGCCTAGGGCTCTCAGAGTTGGGGGAAATAAGCAGGACTGATAATGGGTATGGGTTTTCTTTGGTTGGGGGGGGTGATGGAAACACTCTTCATTTGGATTGTAATGACAGTGGCACAATCCTGTGAATTTATTAAAGATCAATGAGTTGTACACTTCTATTGAGTGAACCTATGGTATGTGAATTACACCTCAATAATGCTATTCAAAAGAAATAACTGTGCTGGACTCTGAGCTATTTCCTGACAAACCCTGCTTATTAATATTAAAATAAAGATGAGAGACTTTACTGGTGGTCCAGTGATTAAGACTTTGTCTGCCAATGCAGGGGGTGCAGGTTTGACCCCTGGTTGGAGAGCTAAGATCCTACATGTCTCAGGTCCAAAAAATCAAACCATAAAACAGAAGCAATATCATCACAAACTCAATAAAGACTTTAAAATGGCCCACATTTTAAAAAAAAGCTTTAAAGATGATAAAATTGATCTAACCCTTTCCTCAGCTCTGAATATTTCCTATAACCACAATTAAAAGCTTTACACAGCTTATATAGCATGTGAATTCATTTTTAACTAATTTCTTCCTTTTCCATGATTCAATAAATTCAAGGTCCTGAATATAACAAATAACTTGGTCTCAAGATAACTCTTTAAATGGTAATCTTTTATCCTATATGTATAACAGAAAGGGAAAGCCAGTATATTTGTTAATTAATATGCAATAGAATAGTCAAAGCTATGGTTTTTCCAGTAGTCATGTATGGATGTGAAACTAGGACCAAAAAGAAAGCTGAGTGCCGAAGAAATGATGCTTCTGAACTGTGGTGATGGAGAAGACTCTTGAGAGTCCCTTGGACTGCAAGGAGATCCAACCAGTGCATCCTGAAGGAAATCAGTCCTGGGTGTTCATTGGAAGAACTGATGCTGAAGCTGAAACTCCAATACTTTGACCACCTGATGAGAAGAACGGACTCACTGGAAAATACCCCGATGCTGGGAAAGACTGAAGGCAGGAGGAGAAGGGGACGACAGAGGATGAGATGTTAGATGGCATCACTGAATGAGTTTGAGCAAGCTCTGGGAGTTGGTGATGGACAGGGAAGCCTGGTGTGTTGCAGTCTATTTGGTCACAAAGAGTTGGACACAACTGAGCGACTGAACTGATGTAATAGAAAAATAAATGTATCCATGAAAATAATTTCAGCTCTTATATGCATAATTAGAGGGGTTAGGGCACTGGTGTTCTATTTGGGGTTAATAACTATTGGTAACACCTTGAGGAATCACTTCAGGTTCTTTATTTGTAAGTATAAACNTATTGGTAACACCTTGAGGAATCACTTCAGGTTCTTTATTTGTAAGTATAAACAGTTTTCTATCATTTGGGAAAATACATGCAAAGGATATATTTGATTAAAAGATGTATGAATTGTAAATATTAACAAGTTAGTACAGATGAAAGGATTCTAGAAATCGGACTCTTCATTCACATAGTAGATCTGTTCACAGACTGGACTGAACTGATCTTATGCAACCCTGTGGCCAGTCACATGGAGCTGTTCTCATCTTAAGTGAAGTTGCTCAGTCATATCTGGCTCTTTGTGACCCTGTGGACTGTAGCCCACCAGGCTCTTCCATCCATGGGATTCTCCAGGCAAGAATACTGGAGTGGGTTGCCATTTCCTTCTCATCTTAGCAATCCACAAATTTGACCTTTCAGGCTGAGCCTAAAGAAGGTGGCAGCTGATGCTTTTTTGGGAAAAATGAAAAACTACTTTTTGAACAATTAAAATCTCTGACTGCTATATTTAACAGCTTCATTAAGATATAATTCACACACCATACAAATCTCCCAGTTAAAGTGTACAATTCAATGGTTCTTAGTGCACTAACAGAGACGAGCAGCCAGGCACGATCATCTGACTGTTTTTTACCAGGACATCTAAGTCTTCCTAGTGATAATAGCTCATGGTCATCATGCCCTCCTTATCTGCGAGTCTCCCTTCCATAGGAATGTGAGGTGTCACTCTGTCTAAATCCAGTTAGGCTTCTTAATTCTCATAAATGGTTTTTTAATAAAAACAATTAAATATCTATAATTCTTCTGGTTGCCAGAATATAGGTATTGACCCATCTTTTTGCAAAGGCCTGATTGAAAATTGTCAAAGGATGTAGAGGCTGTTTTTTCCTCTAGAATTTCCAAGATGACAAAGAGGTCTTACATCCAAGTCCTAATTTTCAATGGCTCTTTAAGGATACTGAGGATATATCCAGGTTCACTAAGAAAGAACGCATGAAGAACTTCCCTGGGGATCTGGCAGTTAACACTCTGCACTCCCAGTGCAGGGAGACCAGGCCCAATGCCTATGCGGGGAACTAAGACCCCACATGCCACAACTAAGACCAGGCACAGCCAAATAAATAAATACATACTTAAGAGAAAGAAAGAAAGAAGGCACGGTGATTAGCAATGTCTGCTAGAGAACAGAGATGGAAGAGGACACAGTCTCATGTCTGGACCCTTGCATCTCGACTTTGACCCTGGTTCCAACAAGGCACTGCAGAGCTGTGATTGCATTGATATGGCCCTCGATCATCGCTTTAACCAAAATGGACTCGGGTGCTCTGGCTCTAGCTTCAGCAAAAGACAATGCTTCAAGAAACATCTACAAGACAACCACTACTTTGTTACAAAAATGATGTTTCTGAGGATGCTGTCCACCTTACTTTCTCCCAAAGGAGAAATTTCTCTCAGGTCTAAGAGCCAGAAAATGCTTTACTCTTCTTGAACATCTGGTTTCCATTTAACTTATAAATAATATGACTCTTATAGACTGCTTTTTTTCCCTTTGGACATAAGAAGTCTCAAACCTCAGAGTTCAATGTGAAGTCCACCTACAGCCATGCAGCTGTTCTGTTTTTTTAATAATTCAGTGTCATGCAACTATTCCATCTTTTTCTACTCACCCTGATTTTTTATTCTATTTATTTCTTTAAAATTTACATTCAGTGTGTGTTCTGTTTTGGATACAGGAGGTTGTAAATAAATGAAGAGACAAGTGGAAAGTTGGTAGCAAGCTAAAGGGCTAGACTGATAAAACAGAATATTCTAACTAGACAGAAAGCAAAACATGAAAAGAACTTGATAGAAAGATATATAGCCCCTGGCAATATAAAGAGATAAACAGGTTGTTACAGTATGGTTTGTAATAGGTTTAGAGAGAGCATATTTTAAAACAAACTATAGGCTTTACATTTATTTTTACAGGGCTATCACACCCATAAAATACTTATTACTTCTTATCTCTTCTATTAACATTTGTTATTTACCCTCCCATTTTATTTACTCTATCTTCCCCAATTTAGTGACTTCAAAAACAGATCTCACAGAATGGGGAAAGGATACCAATGGAAAAGAATCTTTTTATCTCCAGGAAAAACAAAACTAAACAAAACCTTTGAACACAGTTCATGAGGAAAAAAGAATATTCTGAACTTTTGTGAAGGAAATATTCTTGTATTGAGTTTTGCCTGAAATTTTTTTTTCAAGAAATCAGTCTGTATCCCCTTTTAGTCATAAAGTTCTCTCACAGCACGGTGGTCTCTGACATGGAGACAGCAGACTCTTCAGAGGACACCGTGTGGTGAAGAACCCTGGTGAAGGTGACTGCCGTCCCAGCAGGCCCTGAGCTCACCGCCACTTCTGGGGCCCCACAGTGGTCCTGACTGATGCATTCTGTTTTCAAGTTTCTGCTCATTTCACTTGTTTTATGAGAAAGCTGCAGTTGGTCTGCGCTGTTACAGAAACATGTGCATTTCCATTACCAAAGTAGGTATCAAATCCTCGGCGTGTTGGAAGACATTCTTTCCGATACATTCCCAGGTGCCATTTTCCAACCATGTGGGTAGCGTAGCCTGCTTCTTTTAGAAGCTGGGGCAGGAGTTTTTCATCCAAAGGAATGCAGCTGGGCTGACAGGGCCAGATTATTTGATGCTGTAAACCTGTGTGGATCTTAAAAGACATAAACATGAAATTATGGATTAATGATGTTGAAACATTCTAAACAAGCAGATAAAGGGGTTGCCTAATTTATTGGACATATCTGTGGACCTGAATGTTTAATTCTGTTTCTGTACTAGTTTAAGGCATTTCTAAAAGGCATTTTTATCACTTATTCAAATAAGGTAATAGACATAAATAAGATTTTGAAAGAAATGAATAAAGGCACTCTAACAAATGTTAGATAGTTTCTACAAATATTTGTCCAGGAATTATATTAGAAACCGTTAACTTAAGTCTTCACTTCCTACTTCAAAAGGGTAGCTATAATATGAAGTATGGATCTATCACGGAAAAAGTGTTCTAATTCCTATGCATGTGAGAAGTTGGTGTTTGATTAGAAGCTTCTATAATTTTTCAAGTCTTGAGTTTTTAAAAGGGTATAATGAAGGTGAGGATTTGCATTTCTTATTCTACCTTATAGAATCCATAATTTCAAAAGACAGTGACCAACTCTTCTTTAAAAGGGAAAATGGCCACCCACCCCCCAGGTTAGGAGAGGTTCATACAAGTCTGCCGAGGGGGCAAGCGCCACACACCAGCTCTAAGAAATGGTCATGTGTTGAGTCTTGGTGTAACATTAAAATAGAATGTCTACAATTACATGAAAAGGCCATTAAAATAACCCTCCCTTTGCCAACTATATGTCTGAGGCTAGACATTCTTTAACAACTTACCAGAACAACATACAGTTAATCTTTCAACAACTGGGGGGAAGGGGCACTACCCTCCGTGCAGCTGAAAATGTGAGTTTAATTTTACAGTCGGTTGCATCCAGGGATTTAACCAACTACAGGTCATGCAGCATCATAGTACATATTTAGTAAACAAAATCCACATATAAGTGGACCCTTACAGTTTGAACTCATGCTGTTCAAGGGTCAACTGTACTGCACTGGTTGAACACAGAGGCAGATGTAATGTAATAAACCAGCTGGTTTCTATTCATAGAAAACATACAAAAATATAAAACAATGATCACTCTCCTTGCATAATTCCCTTGTTTTGGAAAACACAAAATAGCATATTTTCCCTAAGCTATTTATGTTAATATGTAATAGGATTATTATTGTCATTTTTCAATGAATAAAAAATGTTTAAAATTTTTATGTTAGTTTTTAATATGGTACAGTTTGAAAAGGATAACCACATCAACATAAGCTCTCTGGGGTCTTCAATTTTTAAGCAGGTACATGCTTTGTTTTAAATTCATGGCAATAAAGATATGAAGTAAACACAAAAACAAAACAAAAAACTTTAAACACAATTTTAAAAAAAATGTATTACAAACTACTTACTATTAGATAGCTTTCTCATAAACTTTGACATTGTCTTGAATTTCATTTTTTGTGTGCCTGTCCCAGCCAATCCTTTTGGAAATGTATTTGCTATTGCTTGATTTCATGATATCTTTCCATGCTCTCCTAAAAGGACCATGTGGAATATCATAAATGTCAAAGCGAGTTCATTTTGAAGGTGATATGTTTGCTAACTTGATAGTGTGATAACGGCTTCACGGGCACATCTATATGAAAACTTATCAAACTGTATACTTGAATTATATGCAGTTTATTGCTTCTTGGTGGCTCAGCTGGTAAAGAATCCACCTCAGTGCAGAAAAGCCAGGTTCGATCCTTGGGTTGGGAAGATCCCCTGAAGAAGGGGCTACCCACTCCAGTATTCTTGCCTGGAGAATTCCATGGACAAGGGAGCATGAAGGGCTACTTTTTTCCATGGAGTCGCAAAGAGTTGGATATGACTGAGCAACTAACATCTAGTGCATGTCAATTATACCTCAATAAAGCTATTTATTTAAAAATAAAAGCGAGTTTAAATTTTCTATTCAGATTTTGTGCCCTCCCTAGGAATAACTGGACCTCTACACTATGCTCCAGATGCCCTTCATTTGCCCTCCAAATCCCCAATTTGCCTTCTGTCCTGTTTTCAGCCTGGGAAATTGACCTACCAGGACCAAATCAAAGACCTTCTGCACCTTTTGGTTCTGAGGGGTTCAGTCAATGGCGAGCCCAGACAGGGATTGGAGGGAGGGAAGAGATGCATGGCCCCAAGTGGCCAGGTTATCTGTATCCTGCTGGCTGTTCCAAAAGTGGCCTTCTCTACAGGGTTCTCTGTTCCCAGGTTCTGGTCTCTCCTCTTCCTTTTCTTCCCTTCTGGTCTAGGAGTAGTAACAGCTCCAGCTGTCAGACACTATCTCCTTCTGTTTCCCCAACATATTCACACCTTTTAAAACAGCCCCTGGGCTGGGACCTTCCTGGTGGTCCAGTGGTTAAGACTCCAAGTTCCCATGCTGGGGGGCGGGGGGCAGGTTCAATACCTGGTCAAGGAGCTGAATCCCACATGCTGCAACTAAAAACATAAAATAAAATAAAAATAGTCCCTCTGTGAATAAACTCTCCTAAATTATCCTAATTAGAATATGCCATCTCTTTCCAACTGGGATCCTGACTCATAGGGATGTGACTATATCCAGGCTGAGAGAGGGAAACACTGCTCTCTAAACATACACAAGCACGCACACACACACATACACACACACACACACCTCTCTCAAATAATAGGATTCTGTCCATGGTTAACACTAGAAGTTTACTCAATAGAAAATTAATCCTGGCTTCAAAAACTTCATAATCTATACTAACCGGCAACAGCAGGGGATAAGGAAAGATAACATTTTACGGAGTTCAAAAGACCCAGTGGAGATAAACATTATGCGCCAATTTTTTTAAATGGAAAGTTCATCCATCACTTGATCTCCGGTCGCGGTAAAGCACTGCCAGGGGACGCTGTGTGACCTGCTTTTCCAAGGCCGTGGGCACCACGCCAGGTGGTCAGCTGAAGCCTCCTCTATTATCTAAAATCCTATGGAGCAGGGAATGTTCCTTTCAGTTCCTGAGAATTTATTCGACAGAGCATTTTTATGGCGTGACTCGGGGAGCGGAAGCCAAAGTCTGGATGACAGCCAAAAGCATATTTTTGGTTTGTTCACACACTGTTTGAAGTGAGGAAGCTGTAGTGTGTAGAGAGGCTGTAAACAGGCAAACACAGACCTGCACTCGAGTTTAGCACCGAACTATAGAGCCACGCCACGCTTCACGGGGCAGGATGGAATAAGGTGCCGAGAAGAATCAAAAGAAAACACAAGCATCCCCTTGGCAACACAACAGCATCTGAAACAATGCCATGCTAACATCTGCCTTCAGTGTTTGGAGAGCAGGCATTGAGTGGAGAGGGGCCTACAGATAGTATAGGAGGCTCCAAAGAGGTTTATCTCTCTCTGCAGCTGTCTCTTCTTCATTAAACAACGCCTCAAAAAACAGCTTCTCCCAAGATTGTACTTGAATGTCAAGGATTTCCTCCACAAAGGCAAAGAGTCTGCAGAGTTAGTCAAGGACCTGGCTTGTCTCTGGGTGCTTTCTGTGAGAAAACTGCTGGGAAATCTTTGTTTACATATTTTGCTGCATGTAAAAATGTATTTGACCCTGTAAGTTATTCTGTCCCATGTAGACCTTGAATATACTATCAGGGTGGTCTCTTGAGAATTAAAAAAAAAAAAAAGCACTCCCCTGGAAGGGGAGGAGAGAGGATGGCTCCCACATCAGAATCTCATAGGCAGTCTATCAATTAACGATCTATTTGGGAGCTCAGAGTGCTGGATTTCAGTTACTCTTATAATAAGCTCGCCCAAGGGCCAGGGAGACCCTGCGACATACATGGCATGCATGTGTGTGCCCAGTCGTATCCAACTCTTTGCAACCCCAAGCACTGCAGTCGGCCAGGCTTTCCTGCCCATGGTATTTTTCCAGGCAAGAATACTAGAGTGGGTTGCCATTTCTTAATCTATTCTCCATATGATGGAAAGATTTTTGGTTTGTTCTATTGGATTAGCACTTTGACGATGCAGTTATGAATTTCAAAGAGCCAAAAATCTCTTTGCAGGTGAACAAGGTGGAAGTCTAAAGTCAAAACTTGACATGAAAAGCACAATTTTCACGTGTGTATGTACTGGCAATGGCTGTACTGGCAATGGATGCTATTTCTCTGAACTTCAGTAGTGTCGAGATAACATCCAGGGGAACAGAGCAGGATTCCGCCTGTCAGTCTGACCTGAGCACAATGAACTCATTGCAGCCCTGTATTTGGGCAACACCTCCTGCTGCAATACTTGAAAATTCCCAAAAAATGGGCAGCTCTGCTCTTCCACGTTATACACCAGAGAGCCTAAAGGAGAGCTTCATGACCAGAACACAATCACAGAACATGCTGGGGGCCAGTCAGGAGTTCAGAAGTGCCAGCCCGGGCCTGGGCCAGAGCACTACAGGTTTTAACCACGGCTGAGTACCACTCGCGCCACCTTAGGGTTTATCCCTGAACAAATGGATAGTGGAGAATCTGCTCCCTCCCACTAAGCCTTCTAAAAAGCGGTCAGCTGCCCGCACTGCTGACGCCAAGAGCTACAGAACACACATTCTGTGTGCTGGGGGCCTGGCTCTGCCATCTGGCCTAGTCCTTCAGAACTCGGGCTGCAGAACTGGCCGGTGTCACTGACAGTTTTAAGGGTCTATTTATTTTGGTGTTGATTAGCGAAGAGTGTAAATCTCTGACTAAACCACAAAGGGATGTTGTTTGCAAAAGGAATAAACAAGGCAAAAGCTGTTTCAGTGCCTTCCTGTTTAAATTATAAATCCAGTCGAGAGCCCAGAATGAAAAGGAAGGACAATATGGAGGAAAAAGAATTTTTAGAAAAGCGATATGAATAAGGAAACAGAGTTACCAGACAGTAACAGCTTATGCTCAGAGTGATTCTTGGAATAACAAACTTCAAATGTCAACCGACCTAAAAATCCCATAAGTCAATGATTCATAGTCCACTCAACTCCAAACTTTTTATTCCCTCTTTTCCCATTATTTGGGAAGTAAAAAAGGTAAAAATT